TAACATTTGGACAGCATTAATGGAAAGATCAAAATGGCGACTTACATTCAACATTCAACGAACACGAGTCGCATATATCCATAGTGCATAGCGACGTCGTCATCACGCAGCATTTGTACACAGCTCTGTTGTCTGTCTTGGTCAGTGCCCCTGTTGTCAACCTGAGTGTTGTCTCTCGGCCACCGTAGTCTCCATCGGTAAATACTGGTTGGCTTGGGTTAGACTGGACCACGTCGTTCTTGGACCAAACAAGTGAGGTTGCTGGGTTGCTGCTGCCTGAATTGCACGATAGTTGCACGATGCTACCTGATGCTGTACTTGATGGACAACTGACGCTTACTGCTTCAGCACAAACTGAAGAAAATTGATTTTGGGAAACCAATGTTTATTGAGACCCTCACTCGGTTATCTGACATTAAAGTAACGGCGCTCTTTGCGTAAATACAAACGATCTTACCCTATAACCAAACTAAATAGCCCACGACTGTGTCCATCATACAATATACTTTCAACAAGGCAACATGTTTAGACTAACTTTTCTTTTGTCGGAGAACATTTTCTTTGTAAAAGAATTAGTTTAAATCGGAATGCGAATCACTTCATGGAATGAGAGAGGAAGTGAGGAAAAGCCGTTAGAGCTATATTAAATTTAATATAGCTCTATGGGAATAGCCGATCGATTATTCATTTTCAAAGTTAACTGTTACATAAGTAACAGGTTTTCTTATTCAATATTTCTTTCATGAAGTAGTCAACTTACATTTACTAACATCCGTGTCTAGATTGGTGCATCAACTTAAACACATAGGCTTGCCAAGTATTGTAAGCACATCTTGAGATATCTCTTCTGTGAAGTGCTGTACTGAAAGAACAGGAGGTGGGAATGGCCGAGAACCATTCTCACCTGCTGTTCTAGTTCTTTTAAGCCCAATACTTTATAGAAGATATATTCCATGGTGTACCCTCAACCCATAACGTGCGTCCTACACCGTCCAAAGTTTCCGTTCTTGCCCCTACAGAAATGTGAAAGAAGCCACACTTACATTGTACGTCGAGGGGCAGCCTCCCTTCACTACTACGCGTTCCTGAATCTCTCTGTGCTACACATGTGATGACGTTTCCATTATCCTGTCTCATTGGTGTGTAGTCCATCGTGCTGGTGAAGCTGTAGCGATCACCTGATGCAGACGAGCTCGTATTGGTACCAGTTATAGGTGAGCCTCCATTGGACCAAACCAGATTCAAGCTATCAGGATATCCCATGTCTGCTGCACACGTCAGTGTAGTTAGAGCATCTTCAATCATTGGAGAACTTAAAGTGATCACAGGGGCATCAGGAGGACCTGATGAACATGAATTTTGTAATACCGTACTGTGACTTCATCTACCATCTACCGTTGGTTACACAAAGTTGCATGACTTAACACATTCAAAGTTTGGAAACTTTGGATTTGGAGTTTCCTCACAATGACCTAAACATTTCAGAAAATGTAAAAAAACATCTGCGTAATTGGCACCTGTTTGGGTGTGTTAATTTGACACGGAATGACTCTCATGTACAATTTAAAACATCGCATTACATGTCCATTTTACATGTCCATGTTTGTAGTACTGCACATCTGCTGTGGTGTATCGGCACACGCACATATACGCAGAAATTACCTACATACAAAGGCTCCGTCGATAATTATGAGAAATGACTCTCTGACTTACCTTCATTATTTTATATTGCACGTAGAGCTAATAAGACTTTTTATACAAACATTTGGCTCGTGTGACTAGATGGAAAAGACAAAAGAGTTCCTTTGAACAATACCATTTAGACAATCCACTTGTGTAGTTTTGATAAAATATTGGTCTTAATTAATATCACTGATGTAAGTGTTCTATATACAATTTCATTAATTTCCTTGAATCTGCAGGCCCACGTGTACATGTACGTTGGCTATACTCTCATGTTGAGTGATCAAAATTACATGTTACATCCAAATTTGTTGCATTTGTCCACTTTGTAAGCATTCCCTTTCAATGAGTTCTCACCTCTTACTCGCATCTCCACAGAATTTCTGAAGTATCCAGTTTCAAGAGTGTTAATTAAACACCAGTAGGCTCCTTGGTCATCAGATGTGACGGCCTTAACGGTCAATGGATACCCTAGGGCGTCCTTATCAAACCCGTATTTGGAGTTATTGCTATTTATCACAATGCCATTGGAAACAGTCAACCCTATGAGTAGAATTGCACTATTAGCCGATTCATTAAAGTTAGCTTTGGACCACTGTACTAGGCGAACAGTTTCAGTAGAGATGCATGTGAAGACAGCATCCTGTCCAGTGTCTGTCCAATCAGGTCCACTGACAACAATCTGTCCTTGTGCTGTTGGTGAAATGAATAAAAGGTAGAACACATTTCAAAAAGGCGTCTTCTACAACAGTCGCCTCATGGAAAATGATATGGTGATCATGAGATTAGCCCATGATACTGGGCTGCCTCTGTACATACACGTAGCCACGCTAAGAATATGGGGAGATGTGTACACGAACATTTTGCTTTTTCTAATTTCACATTTATACATGCATCATGATTTAAAACTGTATTTCTGGTTGATAAAACAAACCTACATATACCTGGCTACTTTCATAGGAAAACTAACAAGAAACTTCTTGTTTCCTAAATACGTATCACAAATAAATATAATTTTTGGATATTTACATACATGTTGAGATTAGGAGCATGGTATACCAGGTACAAGCAATTGAAAAAGGACAACATGTTTCACAATGTAGAGTATGACGATGCGAATGGCAACAGACTGAGAGCAGCTGGTTAACAGTAAATGTTTGAGATTTTTCTCCCAAAACAACCAGCCTATAATTATTTAAAAATAGTGTTGAAATACCACAATAACATCTGGCTGCCCGTATTTTGCTCACAGGCGTACTGAAAAACAGTTTAATTGTTTGGGCGGTGTCGGGGGGGGGGGGGTAACAGTATTTTCTATCCATTTCTATGGAAAACCAAACACAAAGCACAAAAGCTTACAATGCACTGTTTTGTTGTATGCGCGAGTATACACAATGATGTGCATCTGTATCATGGATAGCGCTCCCTAGTGTAATCTGCTGTTGCGCCGCCGTCCCCCCGTCCCCCGTCCCCCCCCCCTCCCCTGTCCCCCCCCCCCCCCCCCCCCCCCCCCGCCTGGCACATTACTGAAATCCCTCCATAAAGTTGGCCACGACACCAAACCGCCAACATTTTAATACAATTAAACTTTGTTGCTGTTTCAGTCTGCATGTAACTGCAGATGAGAGTTGCTGAACTTCCAGCAATTATACTTTCATATTGGAAAAAAAAACCTTGTCACATCCGGTAAGTTTGTCTGACTAAATAGACACTAAAGTTGAAATAACCAAACTCAAAAGACAGCTTTATGGATAGAGTTGATCCACTTACCTCCGTGAAAACACGACAATTCAACCACAATGATGTACATGCATGTGTAAACTATCGACGCCATTATCAGTTTGCTAAGTTGTTTTCATTACCGTGCACACAAACCTTTTTCCGATTGAACCCGGAAATATCATTCTCCGGTCATGTCAAGGTTTCATTGTTTCAAGGTTTATTTATTTCTATAGTATCAAAAACCAGTCATATTGAACAGAGCATATGGCTAATAACGCATACGTTTGGGGGAAAAGGGTAATGTCGTGTTTCTCGTGAAAGAGTTTGACAGTCAAATTAGGAAAGTTTAAATCAAATCCAAGTAACATCATCTTTGTTTTCCTATGCTTGATGGAAAATAAGGAATAATCCAGTAGCGGATGGGGAGGGGAGGGGAGGGGATGATTTCTGACACCCCTTCCCCGATCAATCGCTGACTATACGATTTTGTACGATATAAATGACGCAGTTTACGTAAGTAGCCAATGCATCCATCACACATAATTCCAATCTCTGGCTCGCATTTTTAAACTGCCACTGCTTGTAAAACTCTCGTGACCGCCAGACATTATCTCCTAATAGTTGCACCAACCTTGTTATTGTCATGACAGCAACCAATGTGACCTTTTACCCCTGTGTCATCCCCAATGCTTCAGCTAGTAGCCTGACCAAAGGCGCAATGTCAAAGTTCTTTGATGATTAGCGCGATGTATCTTTTGGGCATGTAATCCTAAAACACTAAAGGGAAATAATGGAAGCGTGTCGTTTCATATTTTGTAGGAGCCACAAGAATTTCTAGAAACATTGTATTACTCGCTGTGGTGAGCAATACAATCCTGAAGCTTTGAGTCTGAATTCAAAGGCATTGGGAGGATGTTTGGGCTCCCTGTACGAATACCCCCTCAACGGTAACAATGGGAGAGTTGGGTGAGAACATTGGGAGGAACTCACAACTAACAAGCTCAGAATATAGACCATTTTGAATTCCCAGTACAGAAAAATGACAAATCCAGACCCCCTTCTATTATCTTAAAAATCAGACCTAATAAATGTTTTTTTTATGAAACATAGTTTATATCTGTAATCAGCAGGTGTTCAAAATATATCCCATATTATATAAATGGGGCAGTTAAATGGAGGGAATTGTCAATTATCCATGATGATAATTATTACGTGTGTCTGCCGGGTGGCGGAGAGTCGAACAGAATAGAGCAGGCAGTCAAAATAGGTTTACGTGGTATATTTTTTTATTGAATAACGTGAACATTTCATCCAATTACACAGTTTCAAAGCCGATAACAATTGTGAGAGACATAAATCGCTGCAATTTATCCCTACAAAATGAGGAATTACATGTTATCAATGATTGAATGGTTAAAGAGTTGATAATCAACGATACAAAATAAACACGGCAAACTTTTAAGTAAACCTCAAACGTGACACTTCCTCCTTATTTAAAAAAAAAAAAGACACAAATATTTTCATCTTTGTTAATTTCTACAATTTTACATGACATACACTAAAAGGTTAATATATATTTGTTTACACAAGGCGAATATGCAAGTTCTTTTTTCAAAACGTGACTTCGTTTATTATTATTATTTATTTATAGTCTATTATTATTTGCTACAGGGCCTTCGAAATGTCTGATTTTAAATCATTGATGAAAGTATTTCCTTTAGTTTTGACATGAAAGGCCAACCATTCGGATACCAAGTCGTTTTGGATCACCCTATCCCACCAAGCGCAACAACGACTTAAACCCCAGGACGTTTAACGTGGTTGCCGGTTCCAGCAGGTGGAATCTTTATATTCCTTTGCACGATTAACACATCTTAGGGTAAGGTATTCTCCCTAAAAGCGATGAACTGCCTCTGTTGCTATTACGACATATGAAACGGATAAGCAATGCATTGTTGTGACAAACGGTTCCCCATTCTGTACATTAATGGACAAATACATTATCCATAGCGGCCACAGTATAAGTAACTATTAAAAACTTGGGAAACAATCATCGTTATTAACGAGTAGTTTCAGGAACTGTTATCGACATGGGGTAATTTAACTTATTAATAGGCTCTTCTATAGCTACGATTGTACGATGGTATTAGTCTTGATTTAAACAAAAAAGCTATCTGTTGTACATCTCAACGGCAGATCACGCATCGTTGTTCTTCCAGGGCCTCTACATCCTGTTTCATAATAGTGCGCCCTCACAGGATGAAAAGGAAACCATAGGGTTACAGATAAGTAAATAGTCTGGCATAGACGTCAGTGATAATAACACGCTTCCCAAAATTACTAAAAATACTCACAACCCTTTCAAAATACTCTAATACCGGAGAATTGTTGAGAATGAAAATTGTGATTTGGCCGGCGTAGGCAGTTTCGGGCTTGTGCGATAGTATATAAATCAGACACCTCGTGATACACTGTTACAGTAGCATATCTAACGTGCCATGATTTAGCATTTTGATTGTGTCAGGCAACTAAAATGGCCGAGATATGACATAAATGTGTACAAGTAAAACTGCCGTGAGGGTTATAGTTTTTATGCATGAACAAGTGCTCATGACCACGGTATTATGTAATAGTAGCTAGTTTGATGAAACTGTTCTAGTGTAACCGCTGTCTTCCTATGTAAACTATGATCTTCAGTGTTTTCAGACCTTCTCATCAGGAGAATCAGGAATCGTCACTTCGTAGTCAAATTCTTGGTAGTCTGACAGAGTTATGTAATCCTGGCAAGAAAATAAAATAACAGGATTAAATTTAGGCCTAATAGTTTGCGCCGAAATGTATCTATCAGTCATAGCATTAAAGAGATCCTGCATAGTTTTGCGGGAGGTGCTGGGTCGGGTCGGGACATAAAGCTGTATTTGATAAGTTGCTCTTGAATAAGCAGAACTGTTTAACAGTTTGTTAAATTTCAATGTATTTGTTGGGAATATCAGTAAATTACATGTATTGCTATTGAAAACCATGGTAGATTACCTAGCAACAGAGTAGCATCCGATTGTTTTTCTGTAAACTTACTTTGGCTCAGTGCTTGAATATTTCATTCGGATAATTTTATCCAGATGTAAAACAGGAACTTCACATGATTCGTTCGAGACTTTCCTTTGAGCAAATGGCCACACACAAAAAAGTGGCATATGAAGTTACATATATAAATATAGATATATGCACTGCAAGGTTCGATAAAACCTCGAGATACTGCCGAACTGGCACCCTGTCCTGCACCAACTTGAATGCTTCAAATGGCTTAGTAGACTGGGAACCAGTGTCGCATCCCAAAATGTACTGGGGCACTTGGCACACTGATTTGGTTTCGTCAAAGTCTCACCTATTTGTTTTCTCTACTTTCTGAGCAAAATATGCATGGGGACAAGGGCCTTGATCGAATAATGGGGGTGTTTCCATTCGTGATGCCTTTCCTTTTTGTAATGTCCCTTGATGTAAACACATATTTACTTACATGCCCTCCCTCCAACAATTTCTCAAGTTTCTGACCAATCTCAGTGAAAGACGGTCGTGCTGTGGGCTCCTCCTCCCAACAAGCCAGCATCATTTGATACCTGTGTTAATGGAAACAATAAAGTGAGACATGTAACCTTTTATTCAAGTCAATTACATCGGCACCGGTTATCAAAAAAGACATTGTTGTATTCATGAATGCCTTATACCTCTGTCGAATGGTTGAATGAGTAAACACTTTAAAGTACATTATATCGTATTGTACTCATTTTCGAAGGTAGATTTCTATAAATTGTTTAGGTCACAACAGTAAACCCATGGATTTTTAGGTGTAAAGTCCAAAATGTAACGCTTTGTTTCAGTTTGTAGTAGACCCTATATTTCTTTTTTGTACCTTTTGTTTAAACATACGTTGTAACTGATTGTATTTCTTGTTTTTTAATGTAATTTCCACTGTATTTTTTGTTATGCGCGTTTGATCATATTTATGTAGACCGCGCAATACAAATTTTAATTTATTAATATTATTATAAATTCCATTTTTCAATAGTAAGAATAGCTTTGTATTTTAAGACATGATTCGCTTATATTGCTGCCCAGTTATTTGGTTCAAACGTGAACAAAGTTGAACAAAGAAATGGACACAAGTGGAGTTTTTTTTAGCCTGCGACCTCCTGTGATCAAAGAGTTTGTTTACTGAAATTCATCATGATTCATCATCTTAACTCTCAATCACATTAATGATCTATATAATGTACAAAAAATGAAATGATTTTATGTGTCTTACAGTTCATCTTGGCAATGTTCTGGTCTTGGCATGCGGTATCCCTCCTGCAGCTTGCTTATCATTGTCTTGAAGCTCATGGTGGGATAAGGACGAGCACCTGTAACGAAACATTACCACAGAATCCGAACAATTGGAATTAACTGCAATTGCTCTGATGATGAAGCTGAAACACCTGAAACTGATTCGTATTGATCTCAAGTGTTTTTAAAATGAAACCGAACGTAGTGGGGGAGACATGATTTTATTCGAAAGGAAAGTTAGTTCATCATCGTTAAATTTTAAGATTTTAAAAGAGGTTGGAGAGAGATGGTTTAGACGTTGCAACCAATAAAAGAGAAGTGTTATATATTTTCAACATTGAGAGATGACTTATTGAGGGACCTTGGTCAGCCAAAACCTCTCCGCCCTCGCAAATGTATTAGTTCTCAGGAATTACAACTTTGGGGCACGATACTCAAACTATAGTACTAGAGAGGAGGTATTACGCTGCTATTCTAAAAGGAACATCTCTGTGGCAATTACGACGTCATGGATATTTATACACTTTAAAACTTACCAAGAGTAACAATCTCCCACAGAAGTATGCCATAAGACCATAGGTCACTCTCTGTTGTGTATACGTCATCAACAACCGATTCCAGGGCCATCCAACGAACAGGTAACCGAGCCTTGAAAAGGAGACAATGTATTGTTGAGACTAAAGCCCATTTTGCTTTAAACTTCAGACACTACATCATGCGATCATGCGATCTAAGATTTGACTGCACTGTGTTTTAAACAAATAGTTTTGGAAGTATTTTCCCAAATCGTTTTTGATTATACCTGACATTGCAGACTAAAAAACGTGAAATTCTGATAAACACCTGCACAGTTGGAAATCTGCACTCTTTTAAATGATTGTAACTGATTCAATACAGTCTCATCAGAAATAAAAACAAGGAAGAGGATTCTGGTACTTTGAACGTTGCGAAATATTTCTGCTAGACATACAGATAGAAATGGGAAACAGAAGGAAACTATAGGTACCAAAGAAATATAACTGAAAAAGGAAAGTTTCTGGAAATTAATTTGTCGAAGTTCAATACCTCAGACTTTCGTTGGTACACTCTCATATTCGTGACGTCACGAGCGAGTCCGAAATCAGACACCTTACAGATCATGTTCTCACCCACAAGGACATTACGGGCCGCCAAATCTCTGTGAATGCACTGTGTATAAAAACAGAATATCATCAATTCGCGATAAATGGCGTGGTTTTGCATTCCTTGTCTCCCTCTCTGTTACCTGGGTTGGAATCCCACCCATGCCCCAGTGGATTGGGCTTTCGGTCTTTGATTCTGTGGTTTTTCCTGAATTATTCTTCCCGTAAACAAACATTTTTTTTTTTACTGTTTTATGCAGTTTGAAGAATCTGTTTGTTTCATTACCAACAGAACCGAAGAAAAAAGTCCTAAACACTAGCCTTATACAGATATACGTGTTGATCATCGTCACTTTGGTTTTGGTTTTCAGTTTCTTTCAAATCGCATTTTGCTAGAGTCGTATAGTTATTCCATCACAAGGCAACACAAGTCACCACAAGTCACCACAAGTAATTATCCCGAGTTAAATCAGAAGTTACTCAAGTGGGATTTCACAAAGATACTCCTCTATCCTCTGTCCATCCCCTGTCCGTTTGACTTGTGACTTGGCGTCTGATTTCTAATTTATTGCATAATGATCAACTTGGTAGGCTACGTAACTATAGACAGCAGTCGCAAACTAATGTATGTCTCTTTCAAAAATTCAACACTAACCTGATGTGAAGCTAGGAATGCCATTCCATCAGCAACGTCTGTAGCGAACTTGATGAGGTCCTTAGACGTCAGAGATTTGCTTCTACCGTGCAGGTTGCTATACACCTGCAACTTGCCTTTGCCTCGACTACTCGTCAATAGTTCCTTGAGTTGACCTTTGGACATGTACTCCATGATGATATAAATTGGATCTGATAAAAGCAGAGTTGTTATTTGAGTCACTTTAGAACTAACAATCCCTGACAGAATATTGAGAATGTTCATGGACAATAATCACTGTTCTTTAAGTGGACGTCTTGGTGCATCGCTGAATAGCATATGCTACTCACAGACTCTTTTTTTTTGCTAGTGTGCCTTTAAAGAAAACAATGTTATCTCCCCAAAACAGTTGTCAAGAAAGCCCTTAATATTTTGAAGCATGCAATCGTGATATCTAATGAAGTGATGCTGAAAAAGGGTCTTCAAATTTAATACAAGTGTTAATGATCTACCTCTGTCAATGCAGAATCCGAGGAGTTTGACGACATTAGAGTGACTCGGAAGCTTTTTCATGAAGTCCAATTCCCGGAGCAGATCGCCTCTCTCCGTGATATCTGCGTCGTCTGTTCATGAAATAGCCGTTAGAAATACATGTGAATAATCTATCTCAAATAACAGTATGTCCGAAATTGAATGTTAGGCTTCGTATTTTGCTTACTTCGTGTTAACCACTTATTCATACAAGTGAAAACGTGGACTAACAATGATGAAATATCATATCAAAAGTATTTGGAAATTTAGCCATGCTGTGACATGTAATTCAAAAGTAAATGATGAACTGGTAGTTGTTTTCTTGTTAATCGATGTAGTCGATTTACCTCTTAGAGTTTTGACAGCAACTTGCGTTACAGTTCCCTGCTGGACGATACCGTTTGCATTCCCAAGTAAAACCTTCCCGAAGGCGCCCTGTCCAAGTTCACGAACGATCGTCAGCTTTTCTCGCGAGAACTCCGCGAGAGTTTCAGAAATGCTGGCGTAAGTCGACGCAGCTGGGTTGGGGCTCCCGCCTACGGCCAGGATTTGTAGGGGTACGTCTGCGGAAAGATTGCAATGAAGAAAGAAAGATTACCATGAAGAAAAAAAGGTTCATGAATAGGACAAGGAGAGACCAATTACCAGAAACTTTGGGGATCACATGTTCAGCTTGTTCGTGTTTGGGTCCATTGAGGTGTGGTGTGGTCGTTCACACCTGCATAGTGTTAAGCAAAAAAGCGACAAAACAAAAATGTTTCCCTTCTTTTTTCCATTCACAAAGTCCAACATGACCTGTTCAGCATCTTACCCAAGTCTTGGTATTCCACTGCTTCGTTGGTGACACCTCCTTTGTGTTCTGGCTTGAATTTCCTGGGGAAATAGGTTGACATTGATTCCATATTAATCTAAAGCCAATATTAAAACCTTTCGTTATATTGCTACATCTTGCTTACACGTTGTGTGCAAGTGTGACTATACTTACGGTATTGAAATACGTTTCTTGGTTTCTGCAATAAAGAAAACCAAATATTTAATTTCACTTCGAAATTGTGACAAACAAATATTGGCTTATATATTAGGAATGCTAGTCATACCTGCTTTGTAAAGAACCGCATGGAAACTAGTTTGTTAGTGATTGTCATAAGACTGAATGAAACAGCTTCAGGAATAAGGATACTCTGAACTAGGATGACATTTTCTACATTGGTCTCTGACATTTCTGTGATAGAACAACAACTGCTTTGTACGGGAGTCCTTCAAAGGTTTAAAATGTTCCAAAGCTAAATCGATGACAAAACCGAGGATTAGAAAACCTCCAATTTAATTACCTGGTTTTAGTCCTCTTCTTTTGGCGTACATGATTACCACAGCATTCAGTGCAACGCTGAGTAATAAAATGATGGCCAGAATCGCAATGCCAGCGATTAATCCTGCATTACTTGACTGTCCTGCAACTATTTGAGCACAAAAAAAAAAAATAGGCAAAAAGGAACAAATAGTGAAACCCATTATTATTTGTCCTTTTGGTTTTGTTTTGCTGGTAATTTACCTATCTCTTAACTTATCATCTGAAACTTGAAATGTTTACTTGTTTATTATTGTTTATCTTCATGGAGACATGAAGTGTGTTTTAGGGGAGGTAGAGTCAGGTGACTTTCAATTGATTTTGGACCGCTTTAGCGCTTTGCGCATTGTGTTTTGCTTCACAATTGCGACTCATTAGGAGTCTTTTTATATAACTGGTATACTAATTAGGCTAGAATTAGCCAATCAAGGAGTCATCCTACAAGATGACACTGCCCAGCTTTCTTCACAAGCCAATATCATCCCAAATCATAAGCCGCAGTCAGTTAGTGAGTCGTTCAGTGAGTCATTCCATCAGTCAGGTGCAAAGACAATAGACTGCCCTCTCTGGGACCAGCACAAAGACCAATGACATCAAACCGGTTTGACTGACCGGTTATTTCAGTAGTCGCCTGACTACACAAGTCGCCATGGCAGTATCTAGACCGGTTTGACTGATCTCAAACCGGTTTGACTGACCGGTTATTTCAGTAGTCGCCTGACTACACAAGTCTCCATGGCCGTATCTAGACCGGTTTGACTGATCTCAAACCGGTTTGACTGACCTGTTAGTGCAGTAGTCGCCTGACTACACAAGTCTCCATAGCAGTATCTAGATCGAGCCTCGCGTAGAGCCAAGTCTGTATTTGACTCAAGACACTCGCCATAGTCAAACCAATCATCTTGATTGGTTAGACGTGCATCAAGCCGCAAACACGACGAGGTGTCGCCATCTTGAGGAATGCCATCAACTGAGATGATTCCAGTCTCTTGATTTGTGGTCACAGAGATATCTAAAACAAATACAAGACAGATTTCCGTAAGACATTACGAACGGAACAAATTAAATACCCCCCGCCTAAATATATATATATATATATACAAATGTATATATATATATATATATATATATATATATATATATATATATATATATATATATATATACATATATATACATATATATATATATATACATATATATATACTGATAGGTTAACTTATATATTATATATATATAATATATATATTATATATATATATATATATATATATATATATATATATATATATATTATCGATTTGCCTATTTCTACAAAGTTTTGGTTATCGTATGATGCAAAACAGATGCAAACAGATATAATTCAAATTGTTTGAACAGATTGATTGATAGGTCATTTAAAAGTCTCGTTTTAACAACAACAACAAACAAATTGGCTAAATCACTCACCTAACTTTTCTGGCGTATCAGCTGTGTGCAAATTGAACGAGAAAGAAGAAAATTGTGTTCAATACCGGACTGATAGGTTAACTTATAGATCCACGAAAAGGGACTTACCAGGAATTACACTGCTGTAATTTTACCGTTGCTAAGTTATTTTGTTAAATCAACAATGAATACGGTGTAAGAGAAACAAAATGATGAACGTACGTAGAGTTGTCACAGTCCTTCTGACGTTTTGGCTTACGCTGTTAGCATTCTCAGCATAAACCTCGATCTCATACTTGGTGTACGGACTCAAACCATCAATCACGTGCATCACGACGCCATCGGAGATTCTCACCCGAGTGCTGGGATCAAACCCTGTCGTTGTGTCAACTTCCCGGATGTTGACATAAAACCACTGAGGTTCGCCGACGTCGATGCCAGGACGCCAAGTTATTGTGACAGATGTCGCTGTGACTGTACCCTGGTCGATGGACACATTTTCCGGTGGTAACGGTGTGACTATGGCACAGATGACAAACAAATAGAGGACCTAGCGTTTACATATTCTGTTTAAAATAGTCCTGAAAAACAGGCAAAATATATACCTGTTCAGGAGTTAAAAACGATTTGTGATAATGTCATTCAGCTTCCTGTATTTGTGACTGATTACACTTAACTGTGGAGCCGCAGAGCAATTGGTACAACGATACTACTTGTACGGTGCTGATATGCAGTTGTACAATGTACAAGTAATGAATGTTTGTGACTGCAATAATTATTTTCACGTAACAAATTGAATGTTCTATTCCACGCGACAAAACCGAGTGGGATGAAACATTCCATTTGTTCTGAATAAAATTATTCTTTCACTTGCACGATTGTGAAACATTCATTATCTGGTCTATAACACACCTATTTTATATACAACACCTTTGTTTTGTACAACACCATTGTTAGTTTTTTTTACTAACTGTTTTAATTTACCTTTGTCGTTCAACACAATGGTCAGTGTGTCAACCATTCCTATTCCATTACCGCTGTTGCAAGTGTAAGATCCGTAGTCTCCAGTCCCAGTCACTCGATTGATGTGCAAGGTACTCCTGATGGTGAATCCAAATACATCATCCCCCTCAGGAATGGTATCATACTGAAATATCCTTCCAGGTTCGGTCTCATTGGTTAACTCCACACCGTCTGGACGCAACCATGTCATTCGAGGGAGGGGATTACCCTTGCCTTCACATACAAGAGTAGCATCGTAACCATCTTTGGCCCCCACTGATGTGTCGACCTTATTTAGGATGCTTACTTCATCTTTGAATGTAAAGGAACAAATGAACCATGTTGAAAACATTTTGTAAAAACAAAAATGAAATCACAGCAGTAGGGTAAAAATAGGATCCTTCAAAATTGCGTAGTCTTTCATTTGTAACCAAACACGAAAAAGAATCTTACAGTGCACGATGACGTCAACAGAGCCTGAAAAGACAACAGGTGGTACACCATTGTTTCCGCGACACCTGTAGGGCCCAGCGTCGTCCCTGTTGATGCTGCTTAGTGTCAGGGTGCTTGTTCCATCGCTGTAGACAGAGGTTAGGGAATCAGGAGACCCGACCTTTTCCCATGTGATGAAATCAGGGGGCTGAGGATTGGCCTCTGCGCTGCAGGACAGTACTATGCTGCCGCCCTTTACGATAGGACCGGTTGGCATAATTGTTGGCAAAGAAAACTCCGGGCGGTCTGCAAATAAGAATCATATGAATTTGACTTCTTTGTCAATATATTATTTGATAAAATGAAATATTACAAGGGAAGACAAAGAACAATGAATTTTCCAGAACTTTACCAGGAAAGCCATTAAACTAATTTGATGTAATGTAGACCTACTGCAGGAATGACAGGTCGATTGTCGATGTGTCAAGAACTTCTTATGCACTACATCAGTACAAGGTTCATGTGTAACAGCTACATGAAGTATCACAAAAACGACTATAGGCACGACAAATTGCCTAAGAAAATACAAGTACTTTAACTCGTTTGAGATAATGAAAAGGTTACATATCCAGCGTTTTGTTTCCCTCTGTATATCTCAAAACGATTGTCATTTAAGGCTCATAATTTTGGTTCACACTTTGAAACCATATCAGTTTAACATTTGGATAACATTAAATGGAAAGATCAAAATGGCGACTTACATTCAACATTCAACGAACACGAGTCGCACTTATCCATATTGCATAGCGACGTCTTTATAAGGCAGCATTGGTACACAGCTCCGTTGTCTGCCTTGGTCAGTGCCCCTGTTGTCAACCTGAGTGTTGTCTCTCGGCCACCGTAGTCTCCATCAGTAAATACTGGTTGGCTTGGGTTAGACTGGACCACGTCGTTCTTGGACCAAACAAGTGAGGTTGCTGGGTTGCTGCTGCCTGAATTGCACGATAGTTGCACGATGCTACCTGATGCTGTACTTGATGGACAACTGACGCTTACTGCTCCAGCACAAACTGAAGAAAATGCGTTGGAAAAACAATGTTTATTGAGACCCTCACTCGGTTATTAGACATTAGAGTAACGGCGCTATTTGCGTCAATAAATAAGATCGTACCCTATAACCAAACTAAATAGTCAACGACTGTGTTCACCATACACCATGCCGTCAACATGGCAACACGTATAGACTTTCTTTTCTTGATGGGAGATTTTTTTAACAGAATCAGTTTAAATTGGAAAGCGAATCACTTCACGGTGTGAGAGAGGAAGTGAGGAATAATCGATCGATTATTCATTTTCAAAGTGAACTGTTACATACGTAACAGGTTCTCTTATTCAATGTTTTCTTTCATAAAGTAGTCAACTAACATTTACTAACATCCGTGTCTAGATAATTGGTGCATCAACTTGAACACATAGGCTTGCCAAGTATTGTAAAGCACGTCTTGAGATATCTCTTTTGTGAAGTGCTGAACTCTTCTTTTTAAGACCCATACTTTGTAGAAGAGATATTTCATGGTGTACCCTCAACCAATAATGTACCTTCTTCATTGTGCAAAGTTTGAAGAACTTCTTGCCCCTACAGAAATGTGAAAGAAGCCACACTTACATTGAACGTCGATGGGCAGCCTCCCTTCACTACTACGCATTCCTGAATCTCTCTGTGCTACACACGTGATGATGTTTCCATTATCCTGTCTCATTGGTGTGTAGTCCAGCGTGCCGGTGAAGCTGTAGCGATCACCTGATGCTGACGAGCTCGTAGTTGGACCTGGTGAGCCTCCATTGGACCAAACCAGAGTCCAGTCATTGGGATATCCCATGTCTGCTGTACACGTCAGTGTAGCTGGAACATTTTCAGTCATTGATGCAATTCCAGAAATCACGGGAGTGTCAGGGGGTCCTGTTTGAATACAAATTTCAGTTGTTCATTAGTCGAATCGCACACATTTTTGGTGGCTGCTGCTGTTTCAAGAGGGTAAGCCCATTGTGTCTTATTTGAATCTATCTTACTGACTGACCGATTGATTGACTGACTAAATGAATGAATATAACTGACTGTCGTCTGTGACGTGGGCAGTGCTGTCGTCTGTGATTACCTCGTTACGTCAATGAATTGACTCAATTTGGCCCATCGTGTACACAAGATGCAGGAAGACTTCCAGTAATAGAAAAAGCCATTTTTAGTTAAATGAATAAACATTTTGTGTGTTCTGGGACCAGCATTACACTTAATCAAGATATAAGACTGCCATTGGAGAGTACCGACGAACCACATTATGCCTACAACTTGAATAAGGTTCGATCTTTGAAACAGTTAGGATCGTGTAGGTGCTAATTGATTTGGATTGATTGATGCAGTTGTTTGGAACGATCCTGGGTCTAGTCGATGACAAATCCGACGAAAAAAAGTGCCTCTCTGAAACAATTTTCTCTTTTGATCGAATGCAGTCACTCTGAATGTTTTTTTTTGTTCGGCCCTAACGACGGTTTCAAACGGGTCTCAGGTAGCAGTTTAGCTTCGGTGGCAGGGTGTCCAAAACTGACAATTAAATTGCATGTTTTCTATGCTAGACACTGTCACTGAGGTGTTTTCCAAAGAACACGGGAGAACCAGGGGAATTGTGACCCTTTTTACCCCTGTCTTTTAGAGACATATACTAATATATAATTGCCAACCCAACAGCATTTGATCCACCATTATTTACACCATTTGAACTGAGTTCAACACACCTCAACAATGCATTTGAACATATTAAATCTAACCTCAACGAATTACAAATTAGTATACTTCTATATGTTTTTTATAAAATTTGCTAAATATCACTTTTCGTGCCTTCACCCCGAATTAGACAATTATTATCAGATTTGAGGCGGCTTTATTTATTTCTCAGGACAACGGCCATCAGTATGTAAGCAATCGTCCAATTATTTCTGTGTACCAATTATTTGGGTGTTACTAAGTTGGCTACATACCGTTGATATCCAGTGTAATTGCCACATTAGAGTACGGTGGCTGCGACTCTGCAGTGTTTGCTGCACACTTCACCTCCTGTTTGTGATTGGCTCTGCTTGGAGTGAATGTCCAGGTGCCTGTTGTGTCAAACAGCTGGTTGGTTTCAGTTGAAGTCGGGATTCCAACCCCGTTGGACTGCATTACGTCATCGACGAGCCACTGGATGGTAGCAGCTGGTCTGGTACCCTGCACCAAGCAACTGAAAGTGTGTGATGATCCCTGGTCAACAGTTACTGTCGCTCCTTGAGTCTTTTCACCATCAGAGTCTGACAGCTTCACTACACTGGGTGGCACTTAAAAAACAAAAACAAAAAATGCAAACACAACTATAACCACCAGCATAAATAGTACACTGGTTGAGAAACCCCACAAGCAAATAAATTCCAGTAGTTACTAAGAATAGTTAAGACAAAAAGATGCGATTTGATTCAAAAAAATACGCTCAGCAGCTTCATATTATGTCATGATAAAACAAATAGGAACGACGTAAAAAAACACGCCGGAAAAGGGAACTTTGCAATAAACCCCCCAAGTGGGTCTGAAAGTACATAGAGACTAGTCTTATAGAAACAGAATCTTTATAATAACATCATAGAAACATAATCTTCAAGATAGATCAATATTATGTTGAAAACGGAGGAAATGATTGGCAGTTCATGCTTTACCTCTCACTTGGAGGGTCACAGTGAGGTCAATCTCTGTGTCCGTCAGTCCATCTTGTCTATTGGTAGCACCACACGTCAGCTGAGCAGTAGCTGGTGTCCCTGCGATGTCTACAGTGATCGTGTTGGTGCTGTCTGTCAACCTGCTGTCACCGCTATTAGGAGTATCTGTCTGAGATCCTAGTGGCTGGTCTGTAGTGATGCTTGTGGGTAGGGTCCAGGTGAAGCTGGCTGCTGGTTTGACGCCAGGTGTTGTGCAGGTGAATTGACGATTGGAACCAGCCACGATCGGAAAGATATTCCCATCACCGTATGATGTACCATCGTAGGATACTGCAATTGTGCTCGGTGGAACTGTTTGAAAAGAACATGAAAAAAAAAACTAAATAGGGTTGCCGATAGCATGAATAGAACCGGTAAATTCAACATTGGATATTTTGCAATGCAGCCCTCGTTTAGAATCATGTTAATTTTGCTCCAGAGAAATACGCATGAGTGTATACTCTTTATGACATTAGTGTTACATTAAAAAAACGAAACAAGTCCCAGCTGCTGAATGGAAAAGGTGCTGTATGGACCCTTCTGGTTGATAGAGAATGAAAAGTTGATATTCGTTGGCAAGGTGAACAGTTTCAACGTGCAGTCAATGCTGACAAATTGTAGTTAACCTAAGGAATAGATTGGGCCAATGTTAACAGGTCCAGAGTAATATTTCAACTTTCTAGAAACTCTAACATCTGCATCTGATTATGATCATTCATCAAATTCTACAAATGCTTTCAGTTGTAATACAATTCAATTTTGTTTTATTAAATTATTTTTGAAATGTAGTAAACTGTAAGTCACCTTCATCCACAATAAATCACAATAACTTGGTTAATGCTATTAAAACACTTTCAACAATAAACTAACTAAACAAAAGATAATATTATGAGATTCACAGAGTCATACATACAAACAGCAACGCAAATTGCCATAGAGGATCAAACACGAACATGATTCAACACACTTGTGTATATCAATCATTCTGAAATGACCCTTCGATTTGACAAAGTACGACTCCTTTTTAACCTTACCTGGATTCAGGAGGGAATATTGACTCTACACATTTTTATGTTTTATATTGTCCTGGCCACGTGGTAAACACACCCGGGGCCATCTATCACCAGATCGTAGTATGGACCATACTACATCCTTCAGAGGGGGTGTCAGTCTTGTGATCATACTGGAGGGGTTGAAAATTGGCGGGAAAACCCTGTGTGCTTGTGCACATTTACATAGGCTTGTGTACAAATGCACTATATACATTGGGATTATTTCGATCACCCCTGTGACCAAAATGGAATGTCAAATGGGGTTATGTCTGTGGTTTTAACGGCTGTTTGGGGCCTGAGAGATACTCCAGACATGCCAGAGGTTAATCAGGGGTGAATGGGCTGGTTGTGAGGGTCGGGTGGCTCAAATTACATTTTGTAGAAACCACATTCCATACAGTCATTGGATAGTAAACATTAAAGGTGCTCGATCCAGCAAGTGTTTTTAATGAATGTGCTTTCTTTTATTTAACTTTCAGCAAATAATCATGTAATACAAGATTGGAGTTCATGGTACCTCTTGTCCGTACATCCAACGAACTTACTGCATCATTCGCACCATTTCTAACGAAACACCAATACCTTCCCTCATCTGTGAGTGTAAAAGGCGCTACAGTTAATGGAAACTTGGGGTCTGTTACATCAAAAGTATAATGACTGGGATCTCTGTTTAATGTCACTTTTGTAGAGAGCGTATATTGCGCAGTGATTGTATACGATCCACTTAGCCGCGCATCCACGTTGAAGTCAGTGATGAGCCAACGGACTCTGTCAAATGTCGCAGGTGCGTCGCACCGCAGGGTGGTACTTGTTCCATTATCCACCATGGGCGGGCCACTGATGGTCAGTTGAGCACCAACTACACGTTGAGAAAGAAACGAAACAAGACTGCATTTTCGTCATATAGATATGATTTACATACATGAAATAAGTTAGATTTAAACCAACGAAATTATCATCATTTCTATGTAGGCCTAAACAAATCAATTAAAAAGTTAATACACATAAACAAAAAGCCAAAGGGAAGCACCAATATAACCAAAGGTATTTAAACAGTTCCCGAACAGTGAAGATTACAAATCAAATTTGTTGAATGTGATGTTCGAATCCTTCCCCAAATTTTGCTAACATTAACAAAACTTGTCTCTCAGTGCTTGTAAATCTCGTTCACAGTTCTTACCTTGAACATGTATCAACAGTGACCCGATAGCGAGGTAGGTCACTAAAGCAGAGAATGAGCCCATTCCCACAGCCACTATCCCGGCAGGTACCTAGCTCGTAAAATGTTGAAGAAGTTTGCAAAGTTTATCACTGAAAATCATTTGCCACCCAGGCTGCACACACATTTCGACTATTTTGGCTGGTATGTCGATTTCCGCTATTGGCCTTGATAAAATAAAAATGAACACGTAGCGTGACAATAAGGGGTCGATGTATAAGGCAAACAAGTGCATTGGCGTGAACTTCCTGTTAGCTGTCAACATTGGAAACTACTTGAATTTAAAAAGAATTATATTGTTGATAATGTCTGCTTGTATCTATGCTTGTAAAAAAAACTCTGTGAATAGTGACATCATAATAAGAAATCATTTATTTTATCTATAAATGTATGTTAATACTTGTTTTACAGTAGCAACTTCAGTTACAATATACACGCTAGGCTATGAAATGATCATTTCACGACAAATAACCCGCATTTGCTATGTTGTGTGTATCGGGTTCCTCAAATGCAAATAAGCCAAAGAAAAGGGAGTGGGGTGAACTATTTTAATAGTGGGTGTGTGATTAACTTCGTTCGTTGAAAGAGTCAGAGGGGTCGTTCAGAAAGAAGAGAGAACAGTTAAGAATCGTGAAGGGAAGGGAGCTTAGTCGGTTCGGGGAAAGTATAACATTAGCACTGACAACGGAGCAGTAATGGCAAGACAGCCGAAACGTTCCATTAGACCTGGACATTTCGCGCTCGTTTTTACAAAGTTGGACACTAAAACAAAGTCCAAGATACCTTCTAAAATATTTCCGATGTTCATTTTTTTTTTCAGGGACCTGAACCCTTCCCCATCTAAGACCCACGACGGAGGTCATGTCCAAGTTGTCAAGGTAACGATACCCATAAGTGCGAAGAGATTCAGCATTTTCATTCCTAAGTTGTGAAACCACAAAATGTCGTATATTGTTTGGCCCTACACAACATGAGTATAGTGTGTGTGTTTTCTTAAAGGTAACATCATTTCTTAATGATGCCCTACTTCATATCGAAAAACAAATTAGAAATAATATATTTGACATTCTTTAAGCAGGTGTCTTTTACTTGGTGTTATCAACATCAGTGCAATTGAAAGGAGCTATGCAAAGTCAAAGAAGAACGACAAAGCTGCCATTTAAAAAAAGTACGCAAGACAAAGGCGTGCCTGGTTTTGTATTGTTGTTGAAAGTTTAAAAGCCCGGGGTTCATATTATTGCCTCTGTCTTTCCGGCAAGGGAGGCCTTGACAAAGTTGACAAATTCAATGCGAGTCCATAACACATCTGTATTGAACTTGGACTTCCTGGTTCTGTTCAGCTGTAAACTAGGCCTGCTACAAGTACAGTAGTCAAATACCAGATGAAAAATGAGTGCCTCCGTTTGTCTCAACGCAAACTCTAAGAAAACGCTCTTGAAAAGTGAAGTCAGAATGAAATTTCATATCAAATGAAAATGTGGGTTTTTTTGCTTTGCTTTCAAAAGACCCTGACTTGAGAAATTTAATTTTGGACGGAACTTTTCCATTAAAATAGTTACAAATTAAAAATGATTCCCTGGATGGTGTAACAAGAGTATCGTATGCAGACTGTACCATTTGAAAGCAGGTTAAGGTGTTACTATTATCAGACCCATACTTCAAATATGGAATCACAGAAACCAGTCAGGATTTGAAAAGAATTAAACCAAAATATTTGTTATCATTGATATATTTTACTGAGCTACAGCTTATATAGTTTCATAGGCCCGTTTACTGATAATTGACAAGTTTATAATCCGATATTTTCGCGCTCTCGTGAACTCACCTCTAATTAGCACAATACTGGAGCCAATTGGCTCCGGATTAAACGGCGGAAATTTATAGAAACGACACCAGTACTCGGCAGTGTCGTCCAAAGTCACAGATTTCACAATTAACGAGTAGTTAGCTCCATCACTAGATCGTCTTACATCGTAATGGTTTGTATCAATGCCACGTCCGTACACGATGCTATTGGTTTCGACCTTATGATCTAAGATAGCTTGCTGGTCTGTGACTCCTATGTCACTTCTTCGCCATACGACGTCAGTGAAGCCACTCACATCAGTTGAGCATGTGATCGTTGCATCCATTCCAATTATCACCCATTGGTCGCTGGAAATTGTAATAGAATCAACACCTGGGAGAGAAAAAAAGGAAAGATTTTTTTTCAGTAAATAATGTCCTTAATAAGTAAAAGAAATAAACTAAAAAGTTAATAAGTTAATTAGTAACGGTTCTTGCCAAAACATAGAAAATATTAAGGAAAAGGCAGAATTAAACACAGAAAACAACATAATAAAAAAAGAGAAGAAATCGATTGTGTATTTAGTTGATTGTTGTTTGGTGGGATTGACACAAACCATTGAAACATTTATCTGATAATGTAATCTAAAGCAAGACAAAAACCTGAAAGACGAATGTAGTGAAATATTTAAGAATAGGGCTAGACACAAAATAGATTATAAGTTGTACATGCCTTTACCTTGTGTAATTAACAGCAACCCGATGGCAATGCGTTGCACGGAGGCATACAACAGCGGTAGGATGGCCATTGCTGAACATTCCAAGTTTAGAGCCTGCACAATTCGCTGAACCCTGGTACTCGCACGTGCGCCGTTTAACAATGTGTTCAACCCTGGAAGCGGGGGGGGGGGGTGTCGAACGGTTAATGTGACTTCTGTTGCAGCAGTATGTCAGGCAACAAAAGTCCTGAGTTGAAAAAGTCAAGTGTCAAGGATGGAAGTGGGAAAAAAAAACATCTGTCCTCTTATCGTGAGTTTCCTGGTTTAAAGCGACTTTTAAAACAAAATTGTCAAAATTGACAAAGTCATTAAAGGAGTCGCGGAAAAAATAATCGGCTTTCATCGTGGACTTCCTGGTTCTAGGCGGTTTTTTTAAGCCACCAATTCAAACTTGAAATTAGAAATAAACATTCTTCCTAATGCGTCTACACAACCTGTACGCTCATTTATAATGAGGTGCCACATACATTTTCTATGAAATAATATAACACATCCAGCATTTCTATAGTTACATTTCGACGAAACTGTGCCATGACACCAACTGTTGTACAACACCTGAATAAATCGCAGTCATCTGATTGGTTGATCGTTGATCACATGTCATTGAATTATTCCACAGTGCAATGGAAGTTCTATTGCACTGTGAATAGAACTTCCATTGCACTGTGTCACTTCTGCTGGTGGTGGCGCTGTTTTAAATCGAGATAAATTGAATCTGATTGTCCTTAACCTGTCGAACAGTTTGAAATGTTCCATCAGTTTGAAATGTTCCATTCCACTCGGCTTCGCCTTGTGGAATGGAACATTTCATCTGTCACCTCATGAAATTATTCTTACCATTGCACTTACAAACATTCATTATTTGTATACTGTTTAATCCCCTGTAGTGCGAGAGGAGTTTCACATGCAACATTTATGCCATTTTGGTAGGTAAATTGAAATTAAAAGTCTTTCGAGAGTTTGAGGGGAAAAACACACAAAACAGAATGTTGTCGGTGTCATGTTTTACTTGGTTACACTCAATAGTTCCATAGGCTTACATACTGAAAATTAAGACCATCCGATATTCCGGTTAATTGTTACCTCACCTCTAACTTGTACAACACTGGAGCCAATTGGCTCCGGACTGAACGGCGGAAATTTAAAGAAAAGACACCAGTACTCGGCAGTGTCGTCCAAAGTCACAGATTTCACAATAAAGGAGTAGCAAGCTCCATCACTAGATTGTCTTACATCATAATGGTTTGTATCAATGCCATGCTTATAGAAAGTGTTGTTAGTTTCGAGCACATAATTCAGTATGGGTTGCTGGTCCGTGACTCCTATGTCACTTCTTCGCCATACGACGTCAGTGAAGCCACTCACATCAGTTGAGCACGTGATCGTTGCATCCATTCCGATTATTACCCATTGGTCGCTAGAAATTGTGAACGACACAACACCTGAAAGGGAACAAGAGAAATATTCAATGAAGGTCTGGACAATAAATAAATAAAGAATAAAAACAATAACAATTAACATTTCGTGATTTTTTTTCCTTTGGGGGGGGGGGGGGGCGGCATAGGTGGGGTGGGAATGCATGCTTGGTCATATCAACCTCACCATTTAAAAAAAAATATATATTATTACAACCAAAACTAGGAGACATCCCTAAGGTTTCCCTCAGGCGTCAGCCCATATTTCGAGGCAAATTAATCTAGATCGTTTGCTCGTCGTCCAATTAGTAAACACATCTAAATTCATAGTTGTAGAATAGGAAACACATGGGGTTTTTCGTTAAAGTTTGGGGATTGGAAATTGTGCATAAGTCTATGGGAATGTCTCCCTAGTCATCCATGGGTAATTAATATTAGTATTGGTTTTTTTTGACGAAGATGTTCACCAAGCCTACAATAGTTCCTACCTACTACTAGACGCCCTGCCTATTATTTTTTGTCTCGCTCTTTGGCACATCCAAACGCAAAGGATAATTCACTGAACTCAACAGTAAAGGATGACGTTTTAAAAGCAA